GAGGAGTGGTGCCCTGTGAAAACAAGGACAAGTCGTTGTTACTAAGCTCCCGACACGGGCCCAGCAGGCTGGCTCTTTCAATACGGCAGAAATGAGCTCCATCTTACAGGAGAAATGCGCTCACAGCGGACACTCAACACCTCCTCCAGCCGACAGGGGCAACGAAGGCCAGAAGCAGGATTTGGACCCGGGCTGTCCTCCTCCCAAGCCTGTGCTCTGCGCACAAAGCCGCCTGGGTGTGGGCGCTGTGAGCCCCTGGGCGCAGCTCGGAGTGTAAAGGGGGCGAGTGGGCCCTGAGGGCCAGTGAGTGAGGGACTGAATTCAGCCTGGAGGCTCTGGGGCCCAAGGCCAGTGCGGAGCTGCCCAGGAGTGCGGCCGGGGGCGGGGGCCAGCCCTGGTGCAGGAGCCGCAGGCCTGGGCCTGGAAGGAGTTAACTGCGCGAGGGGCCTGAGTGAATCAGAGGCTCCGCAGGCTGTGATGGAAATTCCCTGTGCATAGCATGTGGTCACCCAGAAAAGGGAAACGGTGCTTTTCGGAGCAGGGGACAGCGGGGGCCGGAGCCCCGGAGCAGACGCCTGCCTGGGTGGGGCTGGTGAGGGTGTTATGAGAAAGGAGGCCTCGCCTCCAGGTCTGCTCAACCCCTGGGCACAAAGAAGGAGGTGAGGAGCGGTCAGGCCTGATCATGCTATGGTGTGTCCATGGGCCCTGACGGATGGGTAGGAGTTCACCATGCCCAGAAGAAGGAAAGGCACTCTAGGCCAAGAGAACTGCTGGAACCAAGGCACATGGGTGTGACTCACTATGGGCAGCCCATCCAGCCTGCTTTTGCTTGCGAACTCGTTCCTGTCCTTCAGGGCCCATCCCAAATAATGCCTCTCCCCACCCAGGCAGCACTCGTGGCTCCTTGTCTGAGTCCCAGGTCTTGACTTCTGTCTTGGACCTCTTAGGATTTTGTAACTCACCTGCCTTCCCTATGAGACTATGAATTCCACAGGGCAGGGGCTGTGTCCTAGCTGTAGAGACAGCTTGCAACCAGCACAGGGCTGGTGGCAAGTACCTGCTCAGTATTTGTGGAATGACAATTTTACAGAAGAGGAATCCGAAGCTCAGAGTGGTCAGGTGGAACTGTCAGCCCCTGACTTCGGCAGAGGGGGCCTCAGGCCAGGCTATTCCTCAGGCCAGGCTATTCCTAGGCTGGGATTTGGCAGGAGGAAAGGAATAGGGAAGGAAGATCCTTCCCCTGGGGCAGGGGAGGGGAGAATGCAGGGGCCCCCGGGCACTGATGGCCGGGCCAAGGAAGGCAATGTCCCCGCCTGCTTCCTACTTGAGCTCCAAGCCAGCCCTGCCACTGCCCTGGTCACGGAGCTGGGAAACGTCCATCTGTCCTCCCAGGAGGGAGACTGAGGTATGAGACAGAGCAGGGGGCAGTTGGATGGAGAGAGAAGGGCACTGGTTTTTAGATTTTCCTGATGAAATCTAGAATCTCACGCCAAGCACTTTCTAGCTGGCCTTGGACACGTGGCTTCTCAGAGCCTCAGTTTCCACTTTTTTTTTTTTTTTTTTCACTTTGTTGCCCAGGCTAGAGTGAGTGCCATGGCGTCAGCCTAGCTCACAGCAACCTCAAACTCCTGAGCTCAAGCAATCCTGCTGCCTCAGCCTCCTGAGTAGCTGGGACTACAGGCATGCGCCACCATGCCCAGCTAATTTTTTCTATATATATTAGTTGGCCAGTTAATTTCTTTCTGTTCATATTAGAGACAGGGTCTCACTGCTGCTCAGGCTGGTTTTGAATTCCTGACCTCGAGCAATCCGCCTGCCTCGGCCTCCCAGAGTGCTAGGATTACAGGGGTGAGCCACCGCGCCCGGCCAGTTTCTACTTTTTTTTTTTTTTTTTTTTGAGACAGAGTCTCACTTTGTTGCCCAGGCTAGAGTGAGTGCCGTGGCATCAGCCTGGCTCACAGCAACCTCAATCTCCTGGGCTCAGCGATCCTACTGTCTCAGCCTCCTGAGTAGCCCGGCCAGTTTCCACTTTTTAATGGAGGTAACAGAATAGGCTTATTGTGAAGGCAGAATAAACCGACTGACATAAACTGTTACTGGCAACGGGTGGGCTCTCTCCTGAGCCTGCCCGGTAGCCTCCTGCCTGTCAGCTCCTTAGCGGGATCAGGTGCGGGTCCAGCGTCCACCTGTCCCCACTCAAGTCTGTACCTCGGGAAGGCCTGACCCTCACCAGGCTGACAAGGGGGTGGAAACAATTCCAGAGTGATGGCTGATGGCCTCCTGCTGAGAAATGTGCCCCCCACAACCCCAGGTGCAGCACCCCCGATGCCTTGGCGCCCCGCTTGTCTGCCACAAAGGGCCAGGGCGCCCAGAGAAGCCACCCCCGGGCAGGGCCCAGCAGCACCGTGACGACCATTGGGCTTGGAGCTTTTCCAAGCACGAAGGGGAACTGAGAACTGTGGGAATGAGCCTTGTGCAGGCCAGGGTGGGCTGGGCCCAGAGGGAGGGGGCCGCTCCAAGGAGCTCAGACAGATGGGGTCCTGGGGTGAAGAGAAGGGGAGCCCCGCGCAGGTGTGGGGTTGGGGTTCACGTGAGGTCCTTGCAGGTCCTCTGGAGTGAGCTGGCCAGGCAGTGGGAGGTCGGGGAGCTGTGTGGGGAAGGAAAGAGGAAGCCATGGGGATGGGGGATGGGCTGCGGGGATGGAGCGGGAGTGGGGGCCGGGGCCTGGAGCCACTTTGGCCACAGCCACTTCGCTTCTCCCAGTTTCGGTTTGTAAATAGCTGCCGGCTCCACACAGGCGGGACAGGCCCTGTCCTTCTGTGGCCTGTGTCCAGGCAGGCCCAGGTCTGGAATGCTGCAGATGCTCAGACCCTGGAGTTGAGGGTGCCTGGAGGTACCCAGCCCGGCCAGCCTTTGCCCTGGGCAGGCGGGTTCTGGTGGGCCCAGCACTGGGCAGCCCAACCTGTGGTCACTGAGGTAATGCAGCTGGGCCGGAGCAGCTACAGAACTTGATGACTCGGCCGCACAGAACTTATTTATAACTGGGCCTCCGTGGCCAGAAGCAGCTGCCGAGCTGCCAACTCAGCACCCAGCCCAGCCCCGGGCACCACGCAGGGCACAGGGTGGCTGGTCTGAAGGATCCTCAGACTGGGCCTCGGGGCTTCGGACCCCCAAGGCCTCTTCGGCTCGGACCAGTCCCTGTGCTATGATGGGCAGGCATTGGGATCCTAGGGAGACACTTGAGGGGCGGGCATCTCAGAACCTCCTGGACCAAGGGGGTGGCTGAACTCAGCCAGTGGTCACTCCCCAGGGAGCTCAGGCCTTGGCCTTCCTGCAAAGAAGTTCTTCCTCCAGAGGTCAGATGCTGTCAGCAAACTCAACAAGAAGCAAAGTCATCTCCCCTCCCCTTCTTGCAATATCAGCTCAAAACCAAACAGATTCGGGAAGAGGGCAGTGCCGACCCCAAGGCCTCACCCCAGGGTGGCACTCCAGGCAAGCCGGCAGGTGGGGAGAGGCATGGGTCTCCCTGAGGCTCCCACGTCACCCCACGTGGGCACCCACCTCCTTGGCAGTGGGGAAGGGCTAGCCCTGTCCCCACCCTGCCGACAGCCACTTGTCTTCCTTCTGAAGAAGAACGTCAGGGGTGTCAGGCCCTTTCCTATGGTTCACAGGAATAAAAAGTTGCCTAGAAGCTTCGTCCGCTTTTGAGTCCCCCCAGCTCAGCTTCTGTCCAGATATCCTCCTGTCCCACCAATACCCTGTCTGCCAGCGTTGGGTCTGGTCTTCCCACCTCCGAGCCCTGTTCCAACCTGGGCCCTCGCCCGCATGCCCTGTCCTACGCTCCCCCCAGCCTTTCCAGTTCCCATTCCTGCCATGGTCTACACCTCGTCCCACCTCCGAGGGGCCCAGCCTCAGTGCTGTCCCCAAAGTTTAGTCTCTTAGAATGAATATAAAGCTCAATGACTGTCACAACCAGTGCAAAAGCAGGCAAGGGATTTTAGACCATGGATGCCGTGATACTACACAAAAGAGGAAGCCAAGGCCTGGAGTGGGTCAGTAGCACCAGATGAGCAAAGGGCAGAGCTGAGACCAGAGCCATGTGCCCTGAGCCCCAGCCTAGAGCTCCTGCACCTCTGACCTCCGGGACACCTGCATGGCCAGAGCAACGGCCCTGCCTGACCCCTTCTTCGTGGCAGAAGCTGTTGGGGATGGGAAGGTTGGTGGCCTGGTGTGGGAGGAACTCAGGCCATCACTGCCCCTGCCTGGGGCTGGGGCCTGGGAGAGGTGAGCCCACTTAGGGCCCTCTGGGCTGGGTCGGGGCGCCCAGGCCGGAGCCTCCCCGGCTGCAGCTGCCCCTGTTTCCACATCGGCAGCAGCAAGGCCGGCGCCTGAGAAAACAGGAAGCGCCCAGTCACCACAGGAAGCATGTGTGTGCCGCCTCCCCAGCCCCGGCCCATTGCAAAACGCCAACAGCCCCATTACCACAGGCACCGCACGGTGGCTGGGAGAAACGCTCCGGCTGCCGGGCCTGCCGAGGAGCCGGACACAGGCGCTGGCCCAGGCCTGGCCTCTGGGTGATGTCCAGCTGCGGCCTCTAGGAGCAGAGAGTCTTTCAGGCCTCCAGCCTCAGGCTTTCCTCTAGGCCCTCAGCCCAAACCCCAGCCCAGCCGGAGCCAGGCCTGTCAATCAGAATATGGGGTCAGGGGTCACAGAGAAGCCATTTCTCTGACCTCGCATTTGGCATGGGGGGGATTCTGTGCCCAGCCGTCAGACCTTGACAAGGCCTGATCCCCAAGCCTCATGAAGGCCGTTGGCTCAGAGTCGGCCACCCTGGGACCCCAGGGAGCCGGCTGCTGTCAAGTCCACACCTGCCACACCCTCTGCCCAGCCTCAGCCCCTCCCAGCAGGGGCTCTGCCAGCACCTGCCGTCCTGCTCAGGCTTGCCTCCCCACCTCGGGAGGCCTGGGCCCCTCCTCAGCCCACCTTGCCCTCCGACTCACCTCTTGCCTCTGGCCCCCCAGGCCCAGCCGCCAGAAGGAGATGGGAGTCCAGCAAGGCCGAGGCCTGGTGCCTGGGAGCCCTGTGCTCATCCGCCCCGGGGACAGCAAGGAAAAGAGAAGAGAGCGGAGCATTTCATAGCTATAATAAATCAAAGGGGGAAGTCAGAGCAGGAGAAATAAGAAACTTCCCTAGCCTGGGCACGGGGACCTGCCAGGCAGCAGCCTCCGGGCGCCCCGAGGCCTTCCCTCCTTCCTCCTGCCTCTCTGGCCAGTGCCCAGATCTCTCCTCGGGCCTAGGCACCCCCACCTGCTGAGAGACACCCCAGCATCCAACAACTCTCCTCGCTGTGTTCCCTGGGGCAAGGCCCCTCTCATCTCTGGGCCTCAGTTTCCTCTCACCGGGCACAGAAGCCCCTGGGCTGTGTGCTGGTCAGGCTGCCCAGCAGACAGGGCTGAAGATGGGTCATGCCCCCTCTGCACCAAGGACCCTCAGGGAACAAAGGGAGGGGTGAGGCATCCTGAGCACCCCTAGCAGGACAATTGGGGCTGGACGAACAAACTTCTACGGGACAGGAGGGGAGAGAGGGCTAAGGCAGCAGGCGGGCGGAGCAAAGGTGGGGCAGCGGCAGACTGTGACAACAAGCAGGGCCCTTAGCTCTGCCCTGTCCCAGCCAGACCCAGGGGCCTGGGCTGTGGGGCCTGAGGAGCCCCTGTGCGGGCACAAGGTATACACAGCCACAGGATGAAACCACTTAACCACTGCATGTCTTTCTTGAGGGTGGCCTCAGGTAGAAGCCTGAGAGGAAAAACTTAAAAGAAAAGGGGTGGGGAGGCCAGACACAGTGGCTCACACCACCTATAGTCCCAGCACTCTGGGAGGCCGAGGCGGGAGGATTGCTTGAGCTCAGGAGTTTGAGGCCAGCCTCAGTAAGAGCAAGACCCCATCTCTACTAAAAAAGAAAGAAATTAGCCAGGCAACTAAAAATAGAAAAAACTAGCCAGGCGTGGTGGTGCACGCCTGTAGTTCCAGCTACTCGGGAGGCTGAGGCAGGAGGATCGCTTGAGCCCAGGAGTTTGAGTTTGCTGTGAGCTAGGCTGAAGCCACTGCACTCTAGCACGAGTGACAGAGAGAGACTGTCTCAAAAAAAGGCTGGGGGGTGGAGGAGGAAGTCCTCAAGAGAAGGATGCAAACTTGTATGAACTTTTTAAGATAAAATAAGGAATTTCAGAAAAGATATTGGCTAGTTTTGGGGGCCACTATGAGTCATGCCTCCCATGCCCAGCAGACCTTCCTACTTCTCAGCTGTTGGGGTGCATTGGTGGAGACTCCAGATACCTCTACTTGAAGTCTTCCTGAGATGGTGAGCTCACTCCCTTACTCCAGGGGTCTCTGCTCTCTGTCAGCCCAGCCCTGGGTCTCCTGGTGACATCTCCCAGACAGCTGCTAGCCTGGAGCTGGAGCTCTTGGGAGACAGGGCACAGGATCCTCTGTATCTTCGTCTGCAGGATGAGGATCACACTGCTTCACTTGCAACCTTGTCACACAGACAAGAAAAGAAAGTGGCAGTGACTGTAAGAATCCAGGCTATGAAGCCAGACAGATCCAAGAGCATGTGCAGTGTGCCTCAGTTTCCCCATTTGGAAAATGGGGGAGAAGTGCCTACCTTGAAAGTGTGCAGTAAGAGACAAATGAAGTTGTAGAACGGGGCCTGAGGGTGATCATGTGGCGGCACCACACGGCAGCTGCCCTCCTCCCTCCTCCCAGAAGCCCCCACTTCCTCCTCTCTCTCACCTGCCTGAGTCCAGTGAGAACCTCAGCTCCCCACTCTTCTCCGAGCACCCTCAGGGCCCCTGGCCTCGCTCTGACCCTTCCCGATCTGGGAGAGTGCTGAAGCTGGGGTTCCCAGCCCTGGCCCCAAGGTGCTCCCTCTCTGGGACAGAGACTTTGGGGGCCCCTCTGCTGCCCTGGCAGCACTCCCCACTTCTGCTGGCACTCCTTGCCCTCACATGGCACCCTCAGCCCCCCAAGACTGCTAGAACACCTGGTGGCATTCACCAGGCACTCCATATACACGACATCGTGTGGTCCTTGCAGCTGTGGGTATTCTCATCCCCATGTCACAGATGAAGAAACTGAGGCTCAGAGGGGAGGAGGGCCTGGTGCAAGGTCAGCTGGTGAGAAAGAGGCAGCTCTGAGACAGAACTCAGTTTTCTCATACCAGTGGAGATCCTACCCTATCTTTGCCCAGTCCAGTGGAAATCCTATGCAAACCCTGAGGCAAAGCAGCACCTCTTTGTTTGGAAAAAGACTTGGAAACTTGTGGAGTCTCACTACTGCCCCTACGCCTGAGGCCAGGGCCCCTTCCCAGCCCTCCTGCCCTCTCCCTTTTCCCCAATTCTCCTGCTTCTCTGGTCCAGGTTGGAGGATGTCAGAGTTGGAAAAATTCCAGCCTCAGGTGCTGGTGAGAGCAGGGAGATGATGACATCTGGAAAGGCAATCAGCCTCCTGGGCTAAGACGCCCCCTCAGCTCCCTGGGGAGACAGGCCCAGCTCCCTGGGGAGACAGGCCCAAGGAGGCAGCATTCCCTGGGGGGCAGAGCTGAGGGTCATAGCTGGTACCAGACATGCCTGCATTTAAATCCCAGCTCTGCAGCTGAGAGAACATCCCTTGAGTGAAGGATTTACCCCCCAAATGGAAAGGAATATACCTCTCCTGGCCTGGAGATTTCACAGAAAGGAAATTTGTTTCTGTTAATAACAGCCATGGTCTCAGCCCTTCTTCATGCATGGGCTCATTTAAGCCTCATAACAGCTCTGGCCGGTAGGTACTATTATGACTCCCATTTACAGATGAGGAAACCAAGGGGAAGGAGACTTCCCAAGGTCACACAGCCCTGCAGGGGCTGAACCCCAGGGCCGTGTGACTCAAGGCCCACGCACTTGACAGGTCCTCCTTCCATTTCCCCTAGGAATTGTTCCCTACTATCCCAGCCTGCAGGGGCAAGCAGTACACTGCTGTGGCTACAGTCCCCAAATGCCTGACTGCCCTTGCTGTTTTGTTTTTTTTTTGAAACAGGGTCTCACTCTGTCACCTGAGCTAGAGTGCTGTGGCATCTGCCTAGCTCCAGCAAACTCAAACTCCTGGGCTCAGGCGATCCTCCCGCCTCAGCCTCCCAAGTAGGTGGGACTACAGGCATGTGCCACCATGCCCCACTAATTTTTTCTGTATATTTTTAGTTGGCCAATTAATTTGTTTCTATTTATAGTAGAGATGGGGGTCTCACTGTTGCTCAGGCTGGTTTTGAACTCCTGACCTTGAGCAATCCTCCTGCCTCAGCCTCCCAGAGTGCTAGGATTACAGGCCTGAGCCACACCGTCCGGCCTGCCCTTGCTCTTGGTTGGGCTTGGGGACTGCAGCCTGGGCATGTAAAGGGCTGGGGACCAGCTGCAGCAGCACCTCCTCCAGGCAGTCCCCCTGCCATATTGCCTTGGGCCACCCTGCCCTGTAACAAGGTTGGTCTCCCACTTTCTTGGAAGAGGGGTATAAGCCCTCCCAAGGGGGCCTGCAGGGTGGGGCTGGGAGGCTAAGAAAGCTGGACTTGAGCTTCCCCACCGGCTCCGCCCCTTCCAAGGCCCTGGGCGGGGCCTCAGCAATTTGGTATTCATGATTTTGTAATCTTTTCCTTATAGAGTGCTCCCAATTTGTATAAGCTTCAGGTTCCACAAAACCTAGATCTGTCCCTGGAGTGGGGCAGTGGAAAGAGGTCCACCCCCTCCCCGCCTGCTCCTGGCTTGCTGGCTCTGTAGGGGTGTGAGACCCACTTTCCCATCTGCAGTGGGGACGCAAAAAGCCATGAAAGGAGCTCGGGGACCCACCATTCAAAGCAGCCCAAGTCCACAGAGGGCTTTTGCAGCCTGCGCTTGTTCCATCCTCAACAGCCCTGCGGGGGGGTGGGGGGAGGGAGAATGAGGCTCCTACCCCCATTTTCCAGCTGAGATCACTGAGGCATGGAGCCCTGCTGTCACTTGTCACTGGTCCAGAGGCAGAGTGAGCAGGCTGGAGCCCCACCCCCACGGCTCCCTGGGGTCTCCGGCCGGCCGGGACGCCCAGCCCCGGGTTGGGGGGAGGGGGTCTCCAGGCCGACTTTGGCTCCGGAGGGGGAGGGGGAGGAGGCGGCGTCCCGCACTGTCTCGCCGGAGGACAGACCTCTGCCCTTATCTGCTCGGGCAGCTTCCGCAGCCCCCTCCGCACCCCTGCCACAGGCCTGCCCCCCCGGCCCCCGCCTCCGGAGGGGCTGGACCGGAGCGCCCCTCCCCCGCGGCCTTCGCCCCCAGGGGAGCGCTCGCGGCGCGCTGCGGCCCAGCCGAGCGGAGAGCGGGCCGGCCCCCAAGGTGGGCAGCCGGAAGTGATAAATACACTTGGGGGGGGAGCCCATCGCAGTGAGGCCCTCCCTGCCCCAGAATGCCGGCTCCCGGCCCGACAGGGGCTCCCCCAACCAGCCCGCCTCTGCGAAAAATGGGGGGGGGCTGGGAGGGACGAGGAGAGGGGTCCCTTAAAGCCCCAGGGACTTTAAGGAGGAGCAGTGGGCTCAGTCTAAACGGGCTTCTGAGGGGCACGAGACCCCCACCCCAACCCCGACACACACTCTAGCCACGCCAGTGGGCCCCCGCTGGCGCAGGTGCGGGAGGAAGACAGAAGTGCAGACACCTTGGAGAAAGTGAAAAGCAAGCCACAAACTGGATGCGTCCGCTGTGCGCAAGCGGGGAAGGATAGCTCAAAATATATACAGAGCTCTTGCAAATCCGTAAGAATAAACCCAAATAATGCAATAGGGAAAAAAGACATGCACAGCCTTGTTACAGAAGAGGAAACACATTCGTCCACTGACCCTCTAAAGGATGCTCAATCTCATTGGTGATGAGGGAAATGCAAATTAAGACCACAATGAGATGCTATTTTACACCATTTGAAGGGCAAAAATGAACCGTCCTGACAGCACCAAGCGCTGGAGAAGAGGCAGAGCAGCAAGAGCTCGGGCCTGTCACTACCAGGGCGCAGCCCCAAATAGCCACCAGGGAGAACAGTCTGGCCTTATCTTATTATGAAGCCGACCGTGACAGAGGCTGCAACCCAGCAAATGCCCCTGTGAAGTAAAATAAAATTTTAAGGCTCACCCCCCCACACACACCAGCTGATTGAATGGACCCCCACGTGGCCAAAGGAATATCCTAAAATTAAATTGTCTGCCAGGAGGAGGGAGGTCAGACAGGCCTCATCATGCCCTCCTCCCTTCTTGGGGACTTCCTTTGTAACCCATTAACAGGCCTGAGGGTATGCAAGACAAACCTGCAGGTCCTCAATTTACACCACAAATCTAGGTCCGGTGACTTATCTCTGATAACAGCTCCTTAAGTTAAAACATTCCAAGCCTTTAGACAAAGCTTCATGTCTTTAACCAATTACAAGACAAAAAATCTTTAAACCCACCTATAACCTGTAAGCCCCTCCCCTTTGAGATGTCCCACCTTTTTGGGCCAAACCAATGTATGCCTCCCACCTATTGATTGATGACTACCTGTAAACCCCCCCTCCCTGAAATGCATAAAAACCAAACTGTAACCCAGTCGCTTGAGTCCATTTGCCCAAGGCCTCTTGGCAGTGCCTCTGAGTCATGGTCCTCAGATTTGGCTCAGAGTAAATCTCTTTAAAATTATTTTACAGAGTTTGGCATTTTTCCGTTGACACCTCCTTGGCAGCAAATCAAGAGAAGCTCTCTGGTGTGCTCCAAGAGACATGGACAAGAATGTTCATAGCTGCACTGTCCCCAGTAGCAAAAAGCTGGAAATAATTCAAGGGCCCATGGACAAGAGGATGGATAAGTAAATTATTCTAGATTCATTCACACAGTGGCACATCAGGCAGCAGTGCAAGCGAATGGCCCACAGTTTCTCACGATATCATGAAGGAATCTTGCTACCATAGTGCTCAGTGACAAGAACTGGTCCCAGAAGACAAATACATTCGGCAAATACCCTCCGTATCCGTGGGTTCCACATTCATGGATCCAACCAAGCACAGATCGAAAATATTTGGGGGAAAAAAATGGATGGTTGTGTCTGTACTGAACATGTACAGATTTTTTTTTCCCTTGTCATTATTCCCTAAACAATATAGTGCAACAACTCTTTGTATAGCATTGTACATCGTATTAGGTAATATAAGTATACAGGAGGATGTGCATAGGTTATAAGCAAATACTACGACATTTTATATAAGGGACTTGAGCCTCCAGGATTTTGGTAACCTCAGGGGGTCCTGGACCCAATCCCCTTGCAGATACCAAGGGACAGCTGTACCTACCCTTCTTATGAAGTTCGAAACCAAGAGCCAAACTATACCTTGACTAATAACAATGTTATTTCCTTCCTTCTAATATTTTTATTATCAGGAGATGATATGATTACCTACCTAAAAGATTGAAGAGTATTAATATATATTGAGAAATTAT